GCAGGTCTGCAGGTGCAAAGATGTGGAATTGCACAGCTGGAGTTGTCTGGAGTGTAGAGTGTGCAGTGGGGATCCAGATGTTGGCAGGTACATGGAGAATGCATTTTAAAACTGGAGTGTGAAAAAGAGAAAACTGAATGAGCTTTTATATCCCTCCAGGCACCGTGTAAAGGCAACTAGAGATGTCTTCCCTTCCTGTAGAATGGTTTTTACAGTGAGTGGGAAGGATGCCTGCATCTATTAAATTCAACATGTTTCAATTGGTACACGTTATCCTGTGTGGCTTTTCTGCAAACTGTTACTGGTTTCATACCAGGTAGAGGCTGCTCTGTAGGAGCAGCAGTGAGCAAGTGTGCAGGGTGTTCTCCTCCCTTCTGTGCTCTCTGCACCAGGGGCTTGCACTGTTACTAGTTGGTTGTTGCACAGCTCTGGTGACCTTGAGATTGGGGTGGTTGTTGGTGCCGGTGGGTATGTGTTGGCTGCTGACAGTCAGAAGGGGCTGTGCAAGGAACAAGCTTTGCTGATGTTTAGCTGCACCCTGAGGAGCTCGTTTGCACTGGAGCAAACTGATGTGATTGTGGATGGCAGGGGAAGCTCCTGAGATGGCTGTCACAGGGAGCCCAGACACGCACATCTTGTGTTGCCACTCCCATGGCCTGGCTCAAGGACCTGGGGGCAGGGTCCTTACATTATTTTTATCTCCTTCTCTTCTTGTGCCTGTGCAAAAGTGGCAGGGTTTTTTTTTTTTTTTTTTTTTTCCCCCTCCCCCTGTGAAGCACTAACTGGGTGGGTTGCCATAGCAACCCTCGCATGATAAGTTGGGCTGCTTCTTGCAGCATTCAAGGTTTCTCTCTCTCAACATTCAGTTCCCTTCATCACCATTTCCCTTGGAGTGCCAAGACCCCTGAGAGCTTTGTGGGGCTGAGCATCCTGCACCCTAAGGGATAACCCTGAGGATAACTGGCTGCTGGAGGCATCAGGGCTGTGCTAGGGCAGGAGGGAGAGGCTGTGCCTCCTTGCACGGGATGGGGTTTGAAGAATTCGTGCTCCCATCTCTTTCACAGCACATCAGGGCTGAAAAATGGAAACAGGTTTCCAATGCAGCACCTGTTTATTTGCAAGTTTTCCTGAAGAGGGCTGGGCAGCGTTTGCTGGCCATTCAAAACAGGCACATGGAGATGTTGGAATGGTACCCAGCTGAGCACAGATCATAGCAAGAATGGAAGTAGCTTATTCATTCATTCTAAAAACATACAATATCTCTGAATATTGTATATTGCATATGGTATTGTAGCCCAGAGAAGTTTTTTCTGTGAATTTAAGAAAAACAAACCAAGAAAGAAAACCACAACATGGCTTCTGGCAGTGTAATGCACTGGACTGAATGCAAGTATTTCTTTCAGATCACCTTTGGTTTTGTCTGTAGTACACAAAACACACTCTAGGTGCTCTCCAGAGCTGGGAAAGAAAGGGTGTGATTTCCGTTTGCTTCCCTGGCCTGTGGCTTTTTGTGTTACAATCCACCCAAATCCAAGTCATAAGAGATTTTCTTCACCTCTGGGCTCACTTTCCCTTCTGTAAATAGCAGCTGGAACACCAGTCAGTCATGAAGTGCTTGAGGTCTGTACACGACGGACAATTCATTATTGTTTTGGGATGCTTCTTTGTGAATGTAATTTAAATTGGTGGGCAGCTGAGTTCAGAAGTGCCTGGGCTTAGAGGAGCAAAAGGCTTCTGTTCTTACCTGGGGGAGCACCAAGGCACCTGGCAGCAGGGCTGTGCTGAGGCAGGAGCAGAAAGGGCTGAAGGGTCAGTCCATGGCTGCTGACCAAATCAGCCTTGTGGAGCTGCTGCTTTCTCTTAATCCTCTCAGACCCTCTCTCTCCTCCCTGGCAGGATTCTCTGTAATAGATATAATTAGAGCAGCCGTAGCACGAACAGTCCAGCTCTGCTGATCCATGTTCTGTGGTTTCTGGCAGTGCACTTGACTTTCTGAGAACAGTTGTGATTTCCACTGTACTTCAAGAGACAGGTGGCTGTCAAGTGAGGTAGCCAGGGACATTGTCCAGTAGTTCCTGTGTCTATAAAAGCTCCCACCATCAGCACTCATCTGCCACACAGACTGGATGGTTCCAGAGGAGTTAGGAGCAAATCCTGTAGCTTAGCCTGCCCTTCCCTTTGATGAGTTGTTGTGAATATAGCAAGAGGCAACAGGAAAAATGCAAACAGAGGAGGCTGCATCCTTCCATCAGCTCTGGTGCTGTGCCTGCCATTTTGTGTTCCTGTGCAGAAAAGCCAGATTTTACTGTTTGGATATTCATGATGGATGGTTTCTAAGGGGGCAATTGAAGTGTGTTGCTGGCATCTGCAGCTACAGTGTGCACACTGTTGGTCTCCATAGTCACACCTAGCTCCTGGAGATACAGTAATAGGTGGTTTCTTTGGTTAGTTTGCTGGTGGGAGTACACAGTAACCCAAAGCAGCCTAGCAGCAGATGAGGCAGCCAGTGAAATGTGACAGGCAGCATGTAGGGACTGTTGTGGCTTTGGTCAGACCCTGCTCTAGTACTTCAGGGCCACAAAGCTTTCAGGGGTCAAAGCTACACATGGGCAGAGTCACCTGCCCAGTCAGGAAAACAAAGCAGAACAAGGAATTAGAAAGATGTCCTTAGCTAGGAATTACTGGGAGTTGTCACAGAAAGCTGTGCAGGGTGAGGTGGGGGCAGTTGTTCCACGCATGGTTATTGGCAGATGATGAATGCAGCTTGCTGGTACAAGCACCATCAGATGATGTCTAGGAAAAGTGTTGGTTCTCTTTGTCCTGTGTCTGCTTCACTCCAGCAGTGCAGGGACCAGGCTGTGTGTGTGGGAGGCCCCTGAGCCGTGGCCATGCCCAGCAGAGGGGCTGTGCTCAGCTCTGCGGGCTCCCAGCTGCTGCTTTCCCCTGGCTGCAGGTTTCCCTGCTTGGGTGGGTCTCACCATTTGTGCTCTGAGTTTTAGCACTGGGAGCTGCTCACGTGTTGTTCTCTGACAGGGCTGGGCAGGTTTAATTCAATAGATTGTGTGGTTTATTGAGCTGATACCAGAGCAGATGCTTTAAAGAGAAGCATGTTTAACAAGAGCTTCATTTTTCCCTCCCTGTCCACTGTGACCTTCAAAGTTGGAGAAGCCCTTCAGGGCACGGTGGCCTCAGGCCAAGAAAAGAAAGCCCAGGCTGCTGCTGGCATTAAACACCCGGGAATCAGCCTGGGACATGAGAGAGGATTTCCCAGTATTTCCAACCGTGACCTTCCGAGCTGTGCAAACGTTAGTATTAAACTCCGGATGGGCAGAGGCCGTGCTGTGACCCTGCATGGACAGGAAAGCCTTGGCTTTCCTTTGGAGCCCGGCCAGTGGTGCCAGTGCCCCTGTCCAGCTCCCCCGGCCGGGGGCAGGATGGATCCCTGGGGGGGCAGGATGGATCCCTGGGGGGGCAGGATGGATCCCCGGGGCAGGATAGGTGCGGGGGGGCAGGATGGATCCCTGGGGGGGCAG